GGTTGTGTTAGAAGCCTCAGGCTGTTAACAATCACTAAGAGGAAAGATTAAGTAGAGAGAACCATGGCAACCATCTAACATTTGTGAATGAATCTGTGTTTCCATAAAGGAGTTCCTAATGTACAGTACTGTATATTCTAAAATAGATGTATTCAAAGTAGGTTGGCGCAGAAACTACAATCCATATTTGGTGAATGGCAGTTAGAAATATTCTCTGTTTATACCTTGAGTATCTTTATTTCATGGAAAATGTAGACATGGCAGCATACTTGGGGCTTTTATGCTCATTTGCTCTATTGGCTGGAAGTGATGTCTACTGCTGGAAGTGATGTTTGTGCATAATTAAAGATCATTTTCTGAGTACAAAAAGCTGACCTCATCCGTTATTTATTTGGATTATATCTGGATTTACTGTTTCTTTCCAGTGACTATTACGGTACAGTGTGTGTAATATCAGCAAACATTAGAAACTACTGTGGAAGTTTATTTCATATCATGTCAAATCACTGCTGTGCTGCTCCATCATCTTTTCTGTTTTATGTTAAAACATCAATCATGACGGAAAAGGTAGAATGTAACTCTTTTCTCAATCTTTGGATGATCTTAATGATATCCAAAGGAGTTTCATGTTATAGAGGAAGGCTCTGCCAAATCTTTCTAAAGAGGGTGAGTCCTATGGGTAAATTGCCCATTTTGGGCACTGCAGTCAAATGACTCTGGGTAACTTTGTTCAAAAATTCATATTAGAAAGGCAAAATCCAGAGGGAACATTTTAAATATTTAAAATTTTATATTGGCTAGTTTTTGAAAAAATGTTTTCTTCCAATATCCTGACTTTACTGTCACTCAGAGTAGCCGCAGTTAAATAATTCTGATAATGTTGAGCAGAATCATTTTTGTTGAACTTTTGCGCTGTATGGGGTATTTGCTGGTGATGTGATGCCCCTGGGCCACCATTTTGGTCAAGGTGCCATCTGTATCATCTGAGGCTTTTTTCTCTGCTGCCAGGCTGGCAAGTGAACTTGTTAATAGGTAACTGTTAGAGGTGTGCACTGCTAGTGGTCTGCAATTTCAAGAACCTTGTATCTGTTGGACTGAAAAGAGAGCTGGACTGAATGGGCCAATCTTTCCCTCTCCCAGGTTCATGTATATATTCCTGTCTGCCAACAAATACAAAACATTATTATGTAAATTAATGCATTTGAAAGGCAATGGAATAAATGGAACAACTATTCTGAAGCTTGCAAAGTTGGGCAATAGGTGGCTATACTGCCTGACCTGGTGAAAATATTAATGTGAAGGACCATTCTCTTCTCTTAAGGTGAAGACTATGTAAGGTGTTGCCAGTGCCCTTACAGTTTTGTCTATATAAACACACAGTTAAGTCAAATGATGGAAACCAAAAATTTTGGTCCATGGGAAATATAAATATTTCAGTAGCAGAAATTATTTCAAATAGAGGTGGAAGAGGGAGAGTAAAATTTCCTTTAGAATGATGATGTTAAAAGTCTGATTAGAAAAATATTAAAATTATATTTTCATGATGACAGTTTTTAGTTTTCAAAATTGAAGCTGTCCAAACATAAACCATCTCAGTGGTATTTAACAACAATTTTTCTGTTGAACTGCCAGGGAACCTTGAATGTTTTAGTCTGCAGTGTGGTGTGTTATGCCAATACCAGGAAAACTGTGGAATTGTATGTGCTTTAAAAGAAGTTGGAACAGAAATATTACCTCATACCATAGAAAACTAAAAAATTTTGATAGGGATTGTTACAAACTTCTTATTTTTTAATTAAAAAAAAAGACACAAGTTCTTATCAAAAGGAGAAGGAAAAATAAATTTCACCTTTCTTAAGCTGCTTTAATGGATTTCCTAGATTTTTGTCTGGCACATATCTATATACAGATAGAAAGATCCAATGTCACTGAGATGACAAAGTGTTTGATCCCCTGGATTTTTGCTTCTTACATTTATTAATATATTTGTGGAATTCTAGAGGCAGAGGAAAGCCACAAAAAGTCAGAAAACTGCAAGCCAAGGTAAGCAACCTGTCAGGAGATGCTTAGCAAATGACAGTGCAAACTACAGAAAAAATATATAGAAAGGAGAGGAAAACATACACCCTTGGAAAATACATTTCCTGGTTGGAAAGGCATTGAAGCTTTGAGTTGTGTAGTTGCTTTCTTGCTCCTTTCCTGTAAATTATCTTTGTTCAGATTATTAATTCAATCCATGTTCATAGACACCCTAGGCCTTAGGGGAGGGGAATACATGTTCTGCTCCAGGTGTAATGAAAGGCATTGTGGACATCATGCCATCAAGGCAAAAGCATCTTTCATCCCAGGAGAGGAGACTGGACTCCCTTGTTGGCATAAATTTTACTTAGTAATATTTGAAAAACATCACAGATACAGTACCAGTGCATTTCTTATTGTCAAAGAGAGTCGTGTTTTCTCCTTTGCATACTGCATAGAAAAGAAAGCCTCTGTGTTTAGTTCATCATGCATTGTAACATTTTTTACTCCATTGCAGTTGGAAAATAGTTTCTCACTTCTTGGTTATTTATCCTAGTTTTCTTGCAATTTGAACATAGGCTTCTTCTGATGGGGAAATAATTTTCCATAGCTATGCTATTGTCCCCACTGCTCCTTAGCCCTGTGACACAAAACTGCAAAATTATGCAGCACAATCAGGTAAATGCTAAAGCATCTGAACCACTTTGTTTTGTTACTTTTACAGCAAGTTCAGGCTTCGGTCCATGTGCAATGTGAGGAACTTTAGTTGCACAGAAGATTCTTTTGGTAGGCTCCTGTAGTACATTAAGGTAACAGTACAGGTAACTGACAGGAATAGAATTACTGGCTAAAAATGTCATTATCCAAACTGAATTTTAAGCTGAATTTTGTTTGGTCTTTCAGAATACTTATTTCTCTCTATTTTACCGCTTGACTAAAGTGTCTAGGATTTAAACTGTGGAATTTGAGTTTCTCTTTTACTTCAGGTGTACCAGGAGAAAAAAGACTGCAATAAAAAGTACTACAAGTTAGGTAGAAGAACTATGCCTGACCCCCCTGACATCTTAAAGCTCAGTCAATAAATATTAGGTTAATTCACTCTTTAAAAAGCAGAAAAGTAGATAATTATTTCTTATTCTTAACTAAAAAAATTTTAAAAGGTTATCAACTTCATAAGCTGATCTTAAAAAGAAAACAAACTCAGTGCTCAAAATCAATTTGATAAATGTGTTGAGCCCTGAGGTCTTGGTACGATTAATATACACATTGCCTTTTGTAATAAGTTGTATACCTGATCATAAAGTAAAAACACTGGTGGATCTGTTAAAGGAATTAGTGCCTGTTTGGGGGGAAAAAAGATAATGATAAAGTAATTAGTATCATGAGTTCAACAAAGATTTAAAACTGTGGTACATGGCAATAATGGATTTTGAACACAGTTAATGAGCATATTCATTGCATTCATTTTTAATTAAGTGGAAAAAATATTGGTCCTTTAAATGGAGATAATAAATGTGCAAGTCAGTCTTGCACAAACATGCAACACAAGAATTTATTGCTTGCTGTCTAACTAGGGAACTGGGAATCATTATAAAGATTAGATTTACTGAAAAAAAATACAGAAAAAACTTTAGTAGAAAATGTTTATGAGGTAATAATTTTCACATTAAATATTGTTTGGCATATTTGGTAGAGTGCGTGTGTGCATGTTTTTTAAAATGTGAGCATTTGTCATCATCAGAGGTAGGACTGTTTGTACCCTTGAAAAGGACTCTGGTATTTATGAATTTAGATTTATGTGAGATGTATTTAGTATATGACTGCACATGCAAGAGAACATAAAAATACCAGAAACCTTGAAACAAACACACACTCGAAGGTGTGTTATGCTTGTACTTAGGATACAAATTGTGGTTTAAAAGTAACAGGTTGGCTCAAGAAGCTGTAGCTGTGAACATCGAAGTGTTTGCCCTGCTTTAACCACCACACACAAACCTTCCCAAACCACTGGGCTGTGCTGCCACTGGGGCTCTGGGGGTTTCAAGCTGAAGTAGGGAAAATCCAGCTGAAATGCTTAGTGTTTATTCTGTCAGTAGACAGCTGGGGAACTGACATGAAACAGGTTAAAACACTAAAACCAGACGAACCTTCTAGAGCAGTGGCTTTCATTGTTTTTATGACTTGGGAATCCCCTAAAAATTTCCAGTGAAAATGAGGACCTCTATGCCATACTGAAGGTTACTGATGATTGACTGGCATTTCTTGGTTACCTTTCATGGGTCTAGTTGAAGTTGTTCACAGATCCCTAGGGATACCCAGGCCACATGTTAAGAACAATGAAACTAAATCAAACTTACTGTTTCATTCTCTCTGAGTTCCCAATCCATATCTGTCTTGTCAATATTACCAAAATACTAAGTTCCTTCTGACACACAGTTAGGTCTGGGTCTTTGCTCAACAAATGTCTCATTGGGTTATGGATAAACTTCTTCCAAGTTTCCCTAAGCCACCTTAACCCTTAGGAACTTATTCACCATTGGTATTATAGGAGAGCAAGTTTTCTGTACCAAAAAGCCCCTGAACTGTCACTGATGGCAGCAGTATGCTGCTAGTGATATTGCAGTATGAATTACTGTGCCACACTTAGGCGATTTTGGTCTTTTTTTTTTCTCTGACTTTATTCTGCTCCATCCCACATGTGGTAATTGTTCCTTTCTGTAAAAGGAACAAACAAAACCATACACAGGGGGCTCTTCAAAATGCTAACTCTGCTTTTATTTTTTTAACCTCACTGCATGATTTTATTATGTGTATGTAAGTCAGTAGCAACTTTGGAGCTAAGTTTAAAATATCCAGCTTTGGCAACATACTTTTAGCATTTAAAAAAAGATTTGCAAACTGCTAAGTCAGTTTATTGTTAAAACATGAAGCTTATAGAATTTTTGTCAGTAAATAAACACTCTATTTTCTTTTCTGTTCAGGTATGACTTTGTAGAAGTTGAAGAGCCTAGTGATGGCACTGTTTTAGGGCGCTGGTGTGGTTCCAGTACTGTGCCAAGCAGACAAATCTCCAAAGGAAACCAGATCAGAATAAGATTTGTGTCTGATGAATACTTTCCTTCTGAACCTGGATTCTGCATCCATTATACACTTCTTATGCCAGTAAGTAACATGTTACTTACTCTTTGAAGTGGTTAAGATTAATTACTGTTTATTTCATAATAATAATAATAATAACAATAATGTGCAATCTGTCTTCCTGAATTGTACATTTTATTTTTGTTTTTTTAACTGTGGTTCTTCTTGGATGGCTTTGGACTTGGAAGTTGTGGGTTCAGTTGTTTGTCTGGAAACTTCAATAAAATGTTTGCATTCCTAATATTGTACTGTGGAAAAAAATAATTCTAGCTTTGAGAAACAGAAAAATCAGAATACAAATCAGCACTGTGATGTTGAAAGAGCATTGGGAAGTTACAAAAAAAGACTGAAGAAATTAATGTTTTTATTAGTCAGCTACTATTAGACATACACAGCCAAATGATTACACTTAGTTCCAAAACAGAAGGGTTCTTACGCCTCTGGGTAGTTTTATTATAGTGACAAAGCAGACAATGCATAATACTAATTTTTCATTGTGTTTTCCATGGAAACTGTACTCTAGACTTCTTTTGAAAGTTGCTTAAAGCAACAGGTAGTAAACACTATTCATTGTCTAAAATGTGGCTAATTTTACTGTCAACAGATTTCTGGTACTTTTTTCACCAAATGAAAGATCTGTGATTAGAACAAAAAAGATTATAGATTTTTAAGGATGAGATAATTTTTTGAAACATTAGAATGGAGGAAAACAGGGGTTGACTTGTTTTAGAGTAGGTATTCCATATTTAAAGACAATAAGGAGTACTTATTGTTAAATTCCTCATAATCCACTTTGAATCTCCTAAGTAGTTTTGTGGTCTGTGGTATTTGGTTGGTGGAAAATATCTGCAAGCTCAATAAAAAATTGATCAAGAGAATTCATGTTGTAACCCCACTGACATGTGCTTCACTCAGTATGAATTTTACTTGCTTTATTTTTTTGCCATTTTTGCTTCTTCTCCCTATTTGCAAAATTTCAGTTATTGTGAAGAAGCAAAGAACCCATACCATGAATCCCATGAATCTTCTCAACAGTACATAATCTTCTACTTAATATATTTAGCATACTTATGATGATGTCAGTGTAGTGTAGTTGGGTGTTTGTATAAATATATATATATATTTATTTATTTCTGTTATTTTCTATTGCTTTCCTATAAACATTTTTAAATATTTTTGCCTAACTAAGAACTCTCCTAAAGTGATCAAAGGTTTGATCAGCATATTTGCGTCTTTTGTGAGTTAGACCCTTTTGTTAGTAGAATATTATGACCTGATAATGGGTGAATTTTAAAATTAAATAAAATGTCAGTCTCCAAACTAACTTGAAATAAGGCCAGGTTTAAACTTTCATACACCCAAGGGCAGAATGAAATAAGTATGTTTACTTTTAGAAAATAGTAGAAGAAAATCACCAAATACATATGTTTGTGGGGCTGGTGCCAAATTTCATTGTCACAGCTCTAGTATTACATCCTACCTGCTACATACCTATCTCACTTATATATGATTCAATTTCTGTGGAATTGATTAAATGAAGGCACCTGAAAATACCAGAGTATATGTATAATTATTTTTATGCCATGATGTACAAATGGACTGAGTTTATTCCTTAATATTTGATGGGGAAAACTGGTTATAAAGTTTAAATTATCATCACTAGCACAACGATGGTTTAATGTTTGAAATATTTAAATCACTTATTCAACAGACAAAAACAGAGCTAACATCATAGGGTGCATTTTTTGTTCCTCGTTTCATTCCACTAAGAAAGCACATATAGCATAAGAAGAATACATGCAAACTGTTTTAGCAACCAAACGTGCTCTCTCTAACATACAGAACAGGCCAGAGCAGCCCTCCTCCTGTCATAAAAATTCAGAATAAGCCCCAAAATGTGCAGTGTAGCAACTGCTTATGGGTTAATTTCTAAATCTCTCTTTAAAAGGGCTGTGATTTTTTTCAACAAAAAAGTATGCCTTAATAAGTCAAGCAGAATGCAATTATACATTTCAGACAGCAGATTGTAAATTTAATCTATACAGTTGAGTTCCAGAATTAAACCTACTTTTTGTACCTAAAGCAAGTGAAAAGTGATGCAAAAAAAAAAAAGTGGTAGTTGTTGGGTTTTCTTTAATAACTGTAATGCTATCTTATCCAGCTTTTCAGAAGAAAATAAGATTTACAGCCCCACTCCCACATGCCCACAAAAAAGATGTCAGCTATAAGAATGAGTGTAAATTTTAAATAATTCTTGCAATATCATAACTGATTCACTTAGAGATTCACTTCAATGAATTGGTTCTAAACAGTTAATTTTTTTCCTCTTTTTTTTTGACAAGTGTTGGGGAAGGGGAGATGACTGGTAGACTAGCAATGAGAGATTGTTTGGGGAGAAATGAAGCAAAACTGAAATAAAACAGTGCAAGCTTGTTTCTGTATTTGGAGGCCACCCACAGAGAGGGGCACCGGACACATTTTCAGGTCTTTTAAAGAGCAAGAGAAATGACTTTGTTTAAATCTGCTGTAATTTATCGTATACATTTTTTCTTTTTTTACTTTGTATATTATATTTCAAACCAGCTTTTCACATAAGTAGGAGGAGAATGGCTACTGATCTGATTACTTTACTTCTAAGAGTTAGTCACTCTAAGGGACTCACTGCCGTTCCGATGTCACTAGATGTAACATCATTCGCTAGAAAGGTTTACTGTGGGATTACAAGACACTGCATAAAAGCAATGCACATACTGTATACAAGCAGAATACTCCCTGAGAAAAACATTAAGTTTTTCTTTAGATTCTAACTAATTAAACTAATAATTTGAATTTCTTCCATTTTAATTTTTGTACCCTGGCTACTTCTAGAACTTTCTGTAATTCTGGTCTGAGTCCACTTTTTTTCCTCTGTTGTATAGCTGCAAGTTAATTTTGTCTGCAATACCATGAAGTGGAAGCAAGTGTTGGAAAATCTTATTCCTATTAAGAAAATGTAGTTTGTGTTATTTTGAAATTATTATGTTTCTTTCAGCACAGCTGTTATTCTCAGTCACTCTTTTCATGCTCTGGCCTGTCACTTAGTCTGCACTTACTGGTGAGCTGCTTTATTCTGGCAGGGCTGCCTAGCAATGGTTCTCAATTTCGACCAGCTATGCATTTATTAAAAGTCATGATTTTGGCAGCACTGTGCCACTTAAAGCTTCCTAGAACATTATTGCAAAAACAATCCATATTTTATTTCTTCTCCCCTTCTTCTCACTTGCCACAGTTATAGCTCTAATCCATATAGTAGCCACATGCAATTGAGGGAAATCTTATAAACTCTTATAATATATATTTGGGCTTCAGTCTTCCTAGTGACTTGTTTAGTTTAAACTATGTCAGTTACGAGTTTGGCAGAGAAAACTTGATGTAATAAAGTCCATTGTTAGTTGGGGAGCGGGTGAATGGGATACTTGATGCCTGAGGTGCCATTAAGGAATGCATGACTGATTGCCAAAGTAGTTATTAATTATTCAGGGCACTCAGAACAAAGCAGCTCCAGTTAAAGTTGAAGCTGGGGGTGACTGTATTCCCCTTCTTTTTTGGCATATGGCAGCATGTCATTTGTCATCAAAGATCATGCCAAAGATCTTTGCAAAGAACAGACTTAACCCTCTTCTATGCAAGCAAAGATGAAAATCCAAGAAGCTGCTTAAAGACTGACCTGGTTTAAAAGCGACTGAGCAGGTGGTTTGGGATTTTGTTGCAGTACCTGAATGGCGACCTGGGGGTCAGTCCAAGAGAGTGTTTTGGTTTGGTTTGAGTTTTTTCCTTTTGATGCAGAGATGTTGTTAGTACTGCTCGCTTTTAACAGTAATGAAGATTAAATAGATATTCTGTCTAGGGCTATATAATATTTGTTGTTTATTTCATCCAAATTGACTAAGCTTTGCTCTTTTAGAATTTAGCAGGTTAATGTTGTTTGCGGAACCTTTTTAATTGAGCTTGTTGATTGAAACAGGCAAATAAATTTAAATACTAATAGAAACAGTGACACTAATAGAACAGGGAGAGGAAAGCTAATACATTGCCTTCCTTTCCTTTCACAAGTGCACAGATTTCACAGCTATCGAGTGTGTTTCTGACGTGTAGGTACCAAAGCCCAAGAGATGCTTAACTTTGGCTGCAATAACTGAAAATCCATCCTGAAAGGACATTATTATCTCCTAAACAAAGTTTAGGAGATAACTCTCTTAAGAAGTAATCAAGAGGTTTTGGAAATAAAAGGATTTGAGAGTTGTTTAAGCCAAGGTGGTATGAAGAATCAGGAGAGTGTATGAGTGTTACGTAGAGCTTTGCAATGCTACATGAAGTGAAAACTCTTCATATGATGGGAAGGACTCTAAAACAAAACCTTTGTGTTCAGAGTTTCCACTGATTAGGTACAGTGAAACCTAAGCATAGATAATGGAACAGGCTACTAAAGATGCTCCAGCATGCAAATTCAATCATTCATTTTCTTCTGTGTGGCAAAAATTTATTTTAAATCAAAGATGTTTTTGAACTAATTTTTACCTTGGAGATTTCATTTTGCTTTAAAGTTGTGCTTAAGGTATTGGATGAGGTAATTTCTTAGATGAGACATCAAATATTACCCCAAAATTCATTAAAAAAAATTACAAAAATACAACCCCGAGGATGGCTATTATCTGTGAGACTAAAATGAGCGGGGGCAGTGGAGAGGAGGAGAGGAGCAGGGAAACCTTTGAAGTGAAAGAACCTCTGAAGTAGACTTCCTAATCAAATCATAACATCTTGTTTTCCTGTGACCGTGTCTCATTCTGTCACATGGATATCATAAAAAGTTTAAAGATCTGTGTGTGTGAAGCAGAGTTGCAGAAAGGCAGGGTTAGACACGAATCTAGCAAAATTGTGGGCCTGCACAAAAGTCTATGGAAGTGTGTCCTTAACCTCAACCTGAGATGTCAGTGTGGATTTTCTGAGATTCTGAAAGGAAGAGAGACATTTTGAATCATATTGGT